TTTTTTTTTTTTTTTTTTTTTTTGTTTTTTTTTGTTGTGTGGCTTGTTTTACATGGGGAAGTGAATACTTTGGACAGCGTTTTGAGTGCCTCCCCCTTGGTGTTGTTCGTGCAGTGGTGCATTCTCTGCAGGCACCAGCCGGGTGATCTCTTTCATTTGTTGTCCAGTTTACCTTGTCTCTTTGGGATCGTTGGTTTACTTTGTTTGGTTTATGTTTGGCTTGGAATAGAGATTGTTTGACTTTGGTGGAGGAAGTGCTTCTAGGATCGTCTTTCTGTGATAAGGGAAAAGTTTTATGGCACTCTAGTTCTTCGCTATTTTTCGGGGCATTTAGCTTGAGAAAAATAATAGGATGAGAGAGGTTGAGAGGTATTGTGATGCGGTTTGGGAGGTGGTGAAGTTTCCTGCATCGTTGTAGCATCGTTTACTAGCCCTTTTTGTAATTATGATCTTGGTTTGATTTTTTTTTTTTTTTCTGGATTAGAGGCCATTTCTGTAAGCTTGGACTCCCCTTTGTTGGTGGGGTTGTTTTTTTTCAGTTTAATCTTCTTTTTAACTTCTGACAGAGCAGTTAATCAAGTTTATAGTTTCTGAAGCACGTTAGATGCAACTCCTAAGGCTTCGAAAATCTGATTTTTTTCCTGAACCACTGAAATCTTAAATGGGCTGTTTTTCCTCTCAAATCTTTGTCACTCCAATATAACAGAGAATAACATTCTGTTTTCCAGCCAACCTATTCATATAATCCTTGGCAGATGGAATAAGCCTACCTATCCCATCACAATCCACCAATAAGGCCTAAGCAATTGCAAACCAGTCATCATTCCAATCTCTTCTAGTAATGACAAAAGTGCAATCCTGTCAATTTTCCCAAAATCTATTTCTTTTCGTACCCAAAATTCCTTTTGCAACCTCTGCTTTACACAAAAGAAGGAAGGCATCAAATATGTCATTTTGAAAATATTACAAATCCTCTCCAAAACAAGCTTGGTGCTTCCTTTTCATGAACTTTCCCCTCTTTTCTTCAATAATCTCCCAAAAAGAAGACCCCTCATTTGTTTTTTTTCCAAAAGGGATAACAATTCTTCTTTTTCTAGGTCTTTAACTAACTCACTGTCCATGGAGATTGAAGAAGCTCCACCAGAGACATTTCTAATTAAAACCTAGTTCCAGCTTAGTCTAATGTAAAAAAAGTAGAGATTCCTTCTCTCCGGCTAAAAAACAGAACCGCAAATTGCAGGGAACACCCCAATTGAAAGCTATATCTTAATTGCAAGCTATAATTTTGATCTTTTGCACATAATTACCTACTTTGCTTCACTGCATGACTTAGTCTCATCTACTTTTAATGATCCTCTGCATCGATGGTATTTTTGCATATTAGACTAATAACTACTCTGAATATTGGATCTATGACCAAAATGCATACTTGTTTCTTTTATCATTCAGATGATTGTCAATTACAACTTTTTTTTTTTTTTTAACTAATACCAATTAGAGGGTCTTTTTTATGTAATCACGTTAGGATGAGTTTGGGTTACAATTTTGTGTCTAATAGGTCTTTGACCTGTCTGATATTTTTTTTTAAATACATGAAAGTTTTGTCTACAAAAATAAAAGTTACAGTCTTATTAGACACAAAATCCAATTTTATGTCTAATAAATCTATTAATTTTTTAAAAGGTTGGATATGTCACATGCCTATTAGACACAATATTGAAAGTTAAGAACCTACTAAACACAAAATTGAAATTTCAAGAATTTATTAAACGCAAACTTGAAGATTTATGAACTTATAATTTAACCTTACTTTTATAATACAACATCTCTAGTGTGGATTATAAGAGAAGTTTGAATTTTACGTGCAATCAAACATGTTATATGAATTTGTCTAGGTTCACTAGATCCAGCATGAAAGCGCTAGCATACAAAGCTTTTTTTCATTAGAAACAAGGAAAATGTTTATTCCAAAATGTCCAGGTAAAGAAAAGGATTTAGGAAAACAATATACTCGAGATGCTTGTCCATTTAGAGAGTTGAGAAGATAATGAAAATCAAGTAATAAGTATTGTTTTTCATTGACAAACGAAGATGTTCCATCATAATCTATTTTGTTTCCATGGTATATTTACCGGTTTATATTTGACTTTGTTTGTGAGTGAAGTTGCTCTTCCTACTAAGATCTTTCCGAACCATCTTCTTAAAAGAAATAGCTGTATTCATCTCTCATTTTGTGATGGATATTGTAAACTAAAATTGCGTAAATCTTTCTCCAGGTCATTGTCAGTCTTTACGCTCTCTCAGTCCTTGGAAGACTGGTTTCAGGTGTTACGGTTGCCTACACTGGTATGTTTCCTACTACAACTTGCCCCAATTTCTGCTATCCTATGAGAAGAAATATTTCTTGACAATTTGATATGAATTTTTGGTTTAGATACTATTTTAGTACATATACTTTGTTAGTTTGCTTTGGTCCCTATTCATTTAGAATGTTCATTTTGGTCCATGTACTTTTAACTTTTGTTCATTTATTCCTTGTTCTTTCCAAAAGTCTGTTTTGGTCCTTATATTTTTAAAATGTAACCATTTTTATCCTGGTTAGCAAAATTCTCACACAAATTAAACTATTCAGCACAAAACTGTGACACAATTCAACTAATTTATTGTGTATTGTTGGGATGAAATTGTGATAAAAAAATGAGTCAAAAAAGAAAAGAACCAAAGTGAGTATAGGAACCCAAACGAATGTTTCGAGAGTACAAGGAGACTACCATGGACAATGTTGAAAGTAGAGGGACCTAATTGAATATGTTGAAGGAACAGAAACCAAAATTGACAAAAGTTGAAAGTATGATGACTACATAGTATTTTTAACCGACATTTTTCTATTATTAATATTTAATTCCTCTTCGACTCATCATGTAGGGGGCGTAGTAGCTTAATTAGCTTTACCATCTGATTTTTCTGATAGCAGAGGTCAACCTATTTGCAATTTTCTCCTTTGTGTTAAAAATTTTCAGGGCTCATTTCTGTCTAGGAATAAATTGGATTGTTTTTGTTTATTTATGGAACCAATCTGTCTTTGAAGCTAAGATATCTGAATCAACAGGTTTATGCATGTTGTGTATATACATGGTGTTGGAGAATTCTGAATCGATCAGTGCTTTTATTTCTCCTTTTCTTAGGAGAGGAAACGACCCTATTTCACACCAAGATTCCATCTAATCTTCACTGGCTGTAACCCCGTTCTGTCACTGTAGATAGATACATCTTGTGAATATTACCGTTAACAGAATCAGACAGTCATTATATGATGGTTGTTTAGGTGGAGTAATAAATTTATTTGATGGGGGAAAAAAAAAAAAAATTCCTGAGTTCATTATTGATATTGATTACTGTTCATCATTATGAGTATCGGTTGTTTTCTGTGAAGTTGAGTGGTGTGAAAAAGAAAATATTTGGCAGGATTGTCATTTGGGTTATACCTTTTTTGTACCAACTTTTAAGTTATAAGGAGATGGAAACTTGTTCAGGAGCTAGTTCTGAATTCTCCTTTTTTGTACCTTTTTTGTTTATACTTTTTTTTTAAATAATAAATGTAAACATTTAATGGATAAATGTGGTTGTAACATTTCCAAAATGAAATGTTAATAACTACTTAGTTCTTCATATTACTATTTCTAGAGTCACGATTGAATTCAATCACTTTTAGATGTTAGTTATTAGTTTTCTGTTGAAGTTTATCTTGTGGAGGTACTTAAATTGGATTGGTGATTGATTTCTAGGTTTCGTCGTAAACCTAATTAGTTACTTCCAATTACCTTAAATAGTTGTAGCTTTCGAAATTCTGAGAGAGTAGTTGTGAGATTCATTGTGCTAGATCTTTGATATCCCTACTCAGCACGGAAGATAGAAGTTAAAACAATTATGACAAGTAGGGGTCGGAGGGGAGATTAGTTTTCTATGATATCCTTTTTTGAAATTAAGAGGCTTTGATACAGTATCAGAGTAATTTTGATACTAAACGATATAACAACATTAAAGGAATTGGCGTGGACAATTCTGTACGAACATCATCCCCAACACATCCAAATCAATTTATATCAACAAAAGCTTTTATGAAAAAAAAAAAAACAGTGAACACTAAAGTATGATGTGTCGACTAGATGTAAGTGAGTCTTGTTTATTTATTGTTAGTTTTAAAGCTTAATTGGTGAACACTAGGTTTTAAAGCTTAAGGTATTGTTAATTTTAAATTTTTAAGTCAAAAGGCCTTGAGGAAATAACACGTGATAGTGTTAATCCTATCAAAATCTCTCCACAATGTTGAGATGTTATAGTGGATGTTTCAAACACTGTGCTCGATATCAACGTAGACGGCTGAAAAACAAGTCCAATGCAATTTGAATCACTCAAATTAAAAGTTAATTAAAAGTTTTTATCAACGGGAGGGAAGTAATGATTTTTTAACTATTATTAAATACTGAGTGTCATCTCTTCCTTGTTACGAACATGCAATTTCAACATACGTCTACTTTAGGCATAAATCCCTCTCATATTAATTGTACATGATTTTTACTTCTATATCTATAATCTTCCCTTTATTTATCAAATGTGAGATTTTGGTCTCATTTCTAGTAATTCTTCCATCGAACAAAGTACTACTAAGTCTCCTATCAAATTTTTAATTATTTACTTTCGATTTAGGTAGGTGGTTGGTTAGTTATGTGAAATTAGACAACTCTGGGACATGATTAATGATTTAGTAGTTACGCAATTTATAATGTCCTATCTCTAATTAATGATTTACGATATCATGTGATGATGTGTTTATATTACTATGTGATAAAACTTCGTGAACGGTCAAGATAGGGCCCACATAGTATTATAAAAATGTAGGGATGATCACGATAGAGTTTGTATTAGATGTATTAGTTGATGGGCACCATAAGTATACTCTATATGAAGACGATTAGAAGACATCCAAGTGAACTTGTTCAGATAAGAGCAAGGTTCACATAAGTATATAGTAGTTGGCAGACACGAGGGTCACTCCCTCAAGATTATGATGATAATGATTACGAGTACTATTAGAGAGTCGTCAATTAATCCCTAATAATACATCATCCTAATCAATAGATTATGAATATGAGTCAGAGCTACGATGTCTCGCTTACATGCATACCTATGATTACAGAAAATGTTAAAGAGCTAAACTATCCAAAAACCTTGAACTCCAATGAACTAGATTACGAGAAACGATGAGTTTCGAGAAGCTAGATTTTGAGCAACGATCAGCTTTTAGGAACTACAATCCTATGAATTCCAAACATCAAGTTTTATTTGTATTGAACTCTTTTCATCAGTAATATTCTGCAATTTCATTAGATACAAAAAAAAAAAAAAAAAAAAAAAAAAAAAAAAAAAAAAAAAAAAAAAAAAAAAAAAA